CCTTGAAATTGAATATCTTGATTTTTGGGGGTTGTTTACACGAAGTATCAAGGAATTTTCTTGAGGTACACAAAGTACTCTTATAAAAATTATATAGATCTGTATTTGTTGAAATCTGTATTTTCAAAAACTGCAGAAGTTTAGCAATTTTTCGGCGCCTTCCAATATCTACAATATTGAAGATTGCTTGATACGCCCATATTATTTTAATTTTGAAGTTAGATATTTCCTACATAATGTTTTTCGAACTTAGAATGTTATTTTTTAGTGCGTCTTTTTTCCTGTAGTTTTGAGTTTGTGACGATATTTAAATATTATATAAACGCCTTTTTCTTACGATCACGGTTTTTACTATCTTCAGAGAGCAGACTATACCTCGCCCTAGATTATCTTGATGTCCTTGTCTTTCCTAAGTCTTTCTTCTGTTTTTTCGCAGAAAGAGGGGCGTATTATTATTTTGTTTTTAGTTAAATTTTAATTGTATATTAATATACATGACAGCTGTCAAATTAAATTTCACGTTAGAGATTTCTAAACCAGCTTTAATATTAGTAGATGTTTAAAAACATTGATGAATTAACATCGATAATTCAATTTTGAGAAACGATGATTGACAACATCGATGTTTTGTTGTCGACGTATCACCAGTGTCGCCGGCGTGTGCTTGTGTTGCGGCTCCATGGGCTGTGCTGGGCCAAACAATGACGCCGGGGCGTTTTTGTGTCGCAGCTCCAAGGGCTGTGCTGGGCCAGACAATATCGCCGGCGTGTGCTTGTGTTGCAGCTCCAAGAGCTGTGCTGGGCCAGGCAGTGACGGCTGCGTGTGCTTGTGTTGCAGTCACGTGGTCTGTGCTGGGCCAGGCAGTGACGGCGGCGTGTGCTTGTGTGTTGCAGCTACATGGGCGTGCTGGGCCCCGACGCGTACATCGACGCGGGCGCGGGCGCGTGCAGGGGCGTGCCGGGGCTGACGCGCCGCCAGCAGCGCGTGTGCCGCGACCGCCCCGACCACATGGCCGTGGTGGCCCGCGCCGCGCGCTCCGCCATCCTCGAGTGCCAGCGCCAGTTCCGCAACTCGCGCTGGAACTGCTCCACCGTGCGCGACCGCTCCGTCTTCGGGCCCGTCATGCAGTTCGGTAGGTGCAGTGCACGCTCTTTCTTTCTCGCTACGGAGTAGAAAATGGTATAATGTTGAGAGAATTTTCGGCAGAAAAACTCATCTTACAGGGCCCTTGTAACAAAAAAATTGATAAATCCAATTGCTAAATTCATAAAAAAACATCCTCTAAATCGCGGTGGAGCCAGAATCCATGTTTTGTGGGTCCTTGATACCGAAAACTCAAATTACGGCAAAACGTCTCTGTCTGACTGTCTGTCTGTCCGTCCGTCTGTGAACAACGCTAGCACTGACTAGGTAGCGGCTAAACTGTTCATCGCTTTTCTTCAGAATTGATCAATCAATCTGGCTGATGTCGCGTCCTCTTAATTTGAGACCGATATTCTAGTTTTGGGGGTAATTTGCATGATACCCCTGAAACTTTTTCTAAATTTTCAAACAAAAGGCTGTATTGTACGTCATTAAATTTTGCTGTTGTATATAAAAATTCAACTTTTGTAATTTTAGAAAAGTCAAGGTGTTTAACGAACATGAGACCTGCTCCATTTTCTTAAATCTCATTCACTAGAGTGAAATTTTCGGAATCTTCCTATAACTAAGAAATTAACGATAGAGATTTTTCCCTTAACTAAATCTCTCTCTTAAAGATAGATTTTGAAATAAGGTTTTCCACAATGTTTTGAAATTTTATGTACTTTTCGCGTAATTTTGCGTGAGAGTACGAGCTAGTTGCCTGCAAATACAGACGAGAAGGTCCGTGGTTTTTAGCACCACTGTAAGGCAGCTCCACACTTCTAGCATTCGCCGAGCAGCAAGCTATTGCTCGCCAATGCCGAACAGCTGAAGTGTTCGGCGAATGTTCGCTTCCTTTGATGTGTGCAATAGACCGACACGTGGTGGGTAGGGCAAGCACCAAATGTTCGTCGCTCGGCGAATAGAAAGTAACTCATCAACACCGCATCTGATTCAGCGAGCGGTTCCTCGTTTCTTGCCGAATAACGAATGTGTTGCATGTTTGTGTAATGCATGTTTTTTTACGGGTGGTGGCTGATCTCTCTCCGCTGTATGGTGAGATCTAGTTCTTACTTACGTATCGGCTAGCGTGGATTTCCCAAACAAGGTGAGGAACGAGTCAACGCCTGGGTCAACTCACGTGTCAACGTCCCAAGTGAAACAAGCTCTAAGCTTCTGATATGTGTGATAGTGTAGTGCATGTAAGTGGAAGTGTGTGTGTGTAAATAAGGGATCGGGTAGGACAAGGAAGAGGAAGGAAAGATCGAGCGCGGTCCGCTTGTCAGGGTACTGCTCCGGCATTCGCCTGGTGTTGAGCAAAGAAACCACGGAAACTACCGATCAGAGCAGCTTTAATTTTCCTCCAGAGAGAATCCCAGCTATTTAGTTAATTTTGGACATCCTGTCATCTCCTGGACTTACCTGTCTTCCTTGTCTCCCACGGACCTGTCTTCCCAAACCTCCCGGACCCTCCTCCACCTCCAGGCCCTCCCGGTTAGAGGCAGTGCAGTGGCATCAATTGTTGCCGTGCGCCACCGAAGCTTGTGAATGATTTCGGGAACTATGGCGAACGCGCGCATGCGCACACTGGCGCTACCGCTTTCAGATGCCCCGGCACGGTTGTGCGCGTTCGCTAAAACTTCCCCGATCATTCGCCTATAAAAAGTGTGTAAATCGAGTATTACACCTCTGACATGACACTTTTTAACAAATACATTACTTGAGTGAAATTGTGTTAATGATAAAATACGTAAACAATATTTTCTCAACCAATTGCTTCATATTTTTAAGTTCTTTCCTTTAAGGAAAGGTTTTTTAATAATGAGACTTTAGCCTGATTTTAATGAAAACCCATAGAATTTGAAAAATTGTAAAATTGCATTTTTTCGAATTAGTCCTACACACTAAAAGTTGAAGCTTAAGATTTTTTTGTTTATGCATTCTCGTCCACAATATTATACCTTTAAATCAGAGTGTATGCACATTTTCAAAATGAGGTAGTTTCCTGGTGAGTTGGGGTTATTGCGACAGAATTATAAATTATGTTTCAAAGCCGCCCTTCACGTTCCATATTGAAGCTAGAGATTCATTTTGATAATTCAGTAACTTCCTCAATATTAGATCTTTAAATAATTTCGTATAGAAGTTTATAGAATATCTGTATTTTTTACGTAATTTTGAATTTTATATTTTGAGTTTTTATATGCATAACTACAATGTAGGGTAAAGGCTGCAATCTCCATTCAGCATTCGAGTAACTCCCGAGTGTGCGTATGTGCAGATGTTCAATTCTGTCACTCACGATTAGACTACTTCCTGTCCACCAGTCTTGACCTATGATGTGTCATTCGACGCGTCTCGGTCTCCTGGTGCAGAACTGATAATTAGTTTTCGAATCCGGCCAGAAAATTCAATCTGAAAAACTCAATCTGATTTGTGCTTTGAAAAGTTTTTATCTTTTTAAAATCTTAGAGAATTACGGAACAAAAATATGGTAGTAACACAATTCAGGGGAATCAGATGTAGTTGTAGAAGATTTTGTGGCAGAATTTTTCAAACTAACTCTTTAAGATCTGACATTAGCATTAGATAATAACGCAGAAGAACAGTCCTCAGGAGATCATTTGTGTTCGTTTTAGAAAATCAACCGTAAAAAATTGCTGTGCTACGTTCTATTTGCGTAATTCATACCTCCATGTACGCCGGGTATAATTTTGAAATTGCAATATTACCAGTTCATATCTCATATGGATATAAGGGTATAAGACATTGGGTTTTGGGAATTTTTGAATGGGAGTATAACATTAACAGCTACTACTATCCATTGGTAAGTTCAATGTCAAATACTGTATAAACATATTTGAACAAAGCCAGGCGTGAAAGAAATGAAGTATTAATGAAATTTTCAACACATGAAAATAGTTTTCAAACAGTGTTGCTGACGCCACATTCAACTATTGTTTTAATATTAAATTCTCGACCACAATATTACAGATCCAATGTGTTTTTGTAGCACCATTAGTTTTACTGTTAGTGCAGTACCTTCTTTAAACCATTAATGCAAGAGAATAATATTACCTCAAAGTGTGATAACCTGTCTCAACATTGTGCCACAAATAAATGCAAGCATATCGCTATTCAAAACCTTCCGTTTTTCAGCTGTTCCGTATAATTTTCGCAAATAAATGAAGTCACGCAATGCATCCTGACATCATTCTGTTCATAGTGGCAAAGAAAACGGGTCAAATTATTCACGCTGATTTGTGTATCTTTTATTTGGAGCTTGTAACCTGATAAACATTTCGTTACGAAGTCTGGCTGTTTTGGTTCAGCAATCTTGAATGGCAGAAGCTTATTGTTTCCTCACATCGGACAAGAAACTCGAGAAGAGTTACGAAAGCTGGTAGCGGTCGAAGGAATTTTGTAGATTCATGCCAAGATATCAACATCAGGATGAACAGTATTGCCTCATGGGCTGAATTTCGTTCCTTGAAAAAAAAGTTTGTTTATTATATATAAATTTCAATAAAACATAAAAATATTTAAATACGTTAAAAATATCATCAATACCTTATAAATATATAAATCGATGAGTATTATAGTGTATTTTGAAAAAAGTGTTCAATTAAATTTGCTATTTCTCAACCTCTTAGTTTAACTATTGTTGTCTTTGCATTACCAGCGTTCAAATCCTTTTAGAAAGTATCTTATTCAGCGTTACCATTATTTCAAAATTGAATTCATTTAATTTCATGGATTTTTTAGATGTTTGCTAGTTATTCTTAGCGTAGCTAGCTCTTGTAACTAATTTTATTGTTTTCAAGATCTGATGATGTTTATTTGAAACCATGCCCGAAATCATATACTTTAATAAATAGTATCTAAAAAAAGTAATTCATGTGTCAGTAGCTTTCCAAGTTGAAAGTAAGCTACACTAACAAGACCGTCTGCATTTTTAAAATTTAAACATGTAAAGCAAAGTTTTTTAACCTAAAGTACACGGAGTAAATCC